GTGTCAGGAGGACAGTAAACTGTCTTTCTGTTCACACAAGACAGAAAGGAGGACTGCTTCCAGGAAGGGCAAGCAGAGACCCAGAAATCTTCCAAGTGCCTCCCTCTGTGAGGACATTTGACAAGTGGTTGTACTGCACCTGGGTCTCAGAGGACTAACACATGGTCCCAGGCAGTCTGGACACACAGAGGCTTCACCGATGGGGTTCGATGAGTGGGCCTCAGCGCTGTGTTGAACTGGAGTGACTCAGCCCAGCCTGCTGCTGCAGTAATCACAGCTTGCTGATCTCTTAGGGTGGAGATTAGTGTGGGGGCGAAAGCCAGATCACAGATCACAACCAACGAGCCACGGTTTCTAAATGCGCTTTGTGGCTTCGAGAGAGCAAGTCTGCCCCTGGTAATGGGAGCAGTTCCTCATGTCACTGAAGAAAGGAGCTGAGAGAATCCAGTGATCTTTCCAGATATCTCTGTTGAACTTCTTCCAGCAGTTGAAGTTCATCAGTCAAAAATGCCAGGCCTTGAAGAGGGAAAAGTTGGGCAGCTAGTGAAAGTGGAGGGCCAGGTCTCTCGCAGGATACAGGAAGGTGGACATGAGCCCATACTGGCCCGCTGCAGATGGTGATGGATACAGGCCCTGTGCCATTGCTGTAGATAGCTTCCATGTGAACACAGCTCCATCTCTTCCCTAATGAAAGGTGGAGGGAATTTTTGGTTCTGAAATCCATTTTTCATTATCTACTTGGCCCGGTGTGATTTTGGATGGTACTTCCTTAATGGCTGGAGAAACTCATGAAAGTTTCATGAAACTCATGAAGATAAACCTTTCAGAATTTCTTATTGTGTATTTCATAAGCAAGCTATATTTTCTTTATGCCTCACAAATCTTTGGGTTAGCTAAAAATAAAGGGGGGAGTAACCATGTCTATGCTTTTTTTTTCTCTCTCCTTTTTTTTGTGCTGGTCCTGGGTCTTGAACTCAGGTCCTGACCATTGACCCTGAGATTTTTCACTTAGGGCAGGTGCTCTTACTACTTGAGCCATAGATCCACTTCTAGCTTTTTGCTGGTTAATTGGAGATAACTGAGGCTGTCTTTAAATTCAGATAATTAAATCTCAGCCTCCTGACTAGCTAGGATTACAGGCCTGAACCACCAGCACTTGGCCTTGTTCATGCATTTTTATATATACATGCACACATAAGAGTCTGAAAGATCTGTTCCTTTTCAGAATTATTGCATTGATTCTTGTGATTCTTATGATTCAAATATATTTAATTCACAAATGTGAAGAGAAAGGAGGACAAATGAGCATTTACTAATAAAATGAATCTTCTTAGAAATTCACCCATCCACACTGTCTTGCCTGGTAAAATGTCTGCTCTGGGGACGGCCAACTTTAGCTCCAGAGGAGCCTCAGCCCAGCTACCCCCTCCCATGATTGATATTCCCATCTTCTGTCCCCTCCCTGGCTCCCTGGGGATCAGCCCTTGTCTCTTTATTTTTATTTGACTTGAAGCCAATGGCATTGATTCCAAAAGACAGAAGAGGACCTGGCATGGCTTCTGTCCCTTCAAGCTGGCCTGCTGAAATGATGGCTAATTCCTTTTCATTTGGCCTGATACACTCGGTTTTCTCATACTTGTTTGGAAACGAGACAGCATGGCATTATTTAGCTCTGAAAGCAGATGTCACCAAAGGTGGCCTTGTATTACTGCCTTCAAGGTCTTCTAGAAACCTCTCTTTGCTTTTCAGTGATGCCATTTTGACACAAAGCAGTGTGGGGTTTCATTACTGGCCAGAGCACTCTGTTGGGGTACACAGTCCCTGCATCCTCAGATTCACAGTTCTGTCCACTTGCTGTCCCCCAGTGAGAATACTGGCTTTGGGACCATGACACCAGCGATGAATATTGTGCCCAAGGCAGGAAGACTGCTCAACAGAGATGCTCCAAACCTCCAAGTACAAGTGACAAACTCCATGTGGCTTAGCTGCTGTTTCCTCCTCTGGAAAATGGCTGTTTTTTTTTTTTTTCTATTTCACACAGACAGCTGCTAACCCCGTCCTTCCCCTCCCAGGCCACTCCTTGGGTTTCCTGTACAGCTTGTGTTTGCAACAGCAAATACTGACCTGGAATGAGCCCATCACCCCTCTGTTTTTGTTTTTTGTTTTTTTTTTTCAGGTAGGATCTTGGGCTTTTGCTTGGGCTGGTCTTGAGCCATAATCCTCCTACCTCTGCATCCTTGAGTAACTGGGATTATAGGTGCATGCTACCATGCCCAAACTCAAAGGATAGAGGTAATGTTTGAGGGTAGATTGGAAAGAGAAGAGGAGTGATCCAGGAGAGAGAGGAGTCAGGCCTCCCATTTGAAAGGTATATTTAAGCAAATAAAGGCAAAGTGTCCCTACCTCAGGGCAAATGTCATCCCACACCAAAGGGCAGGACCTAGTATTATGCATGAATTCGATTGGCAAAATACAGAGGAGCCCCACTCTGAGAAGTCGAATCAGGAGTCTTTATTACAAAGCTGGTGACTGTGAGGGGACTTCTGTCCCAAAGGAACTTGCAGCCTCGAATGCAGTTAATACAAAGTTTATAGAGGCGAACACCTCTAAACTAAATCTAGTGAAAGCATATTTACAGAAGGAAAGCAAGCTAGGGGGAACTATTAGGGGCAATCAAGGGCAAGAATTCCCCAGAGGAAGACTTTCCTGGAGCTTAACAACCTTTGACATACCTGTACCTTTTGGAACTAGGTGAAAAGTCCCCATCCTCCACTAAGATGCCAAGATGGTGGTATGGATAAGATGGCATTACCTAGGCCCAGTATCCATATTTCACTAGCAAGTTGAGGCCGAGCTGGCATTCTGCTGGGTGCCCTTGAGCAGAGAGCAACCTGTACAACTGTAATGGGTGCCACTGGCTGGCATGCCAGCACAATGGGCCTCTGATAGGCATTCAGAAGCACTGGGTAAGATTCAGCTAGTGTCCGTGTGCCACAGTCTCCTTGGAAACACCCAGATTGTTCTGGTAGCTGTTACTTCCAGGATATGGTGTGTTGCTGTGACACTACTGAGTTTTAAAAAGTAAGAGCGATGGGGCAGGGTGTGGCTGCTTTTGCTGAGGCTGTGCATTAACTAAAGGCTGGGTACCAGTGTTCCCCTGCCCACCCTCCACTTTGTATCTCTGCCGTTTGATCTGATCCATTCCCTCCTGCAGTCTCTGTACAAAATCACCTCAGCTTCTGGAAAGAACAGATTCACCTAGAAGCATCTTGTGAACAGAGGAAAACTGTCTCTTAGACAGGTGCCTCATTATCAGCTTGAAAAGAGCAGCCTGGGCCTCCCTGGTCCAGGACTGAGTCAACCTAGCCATACCTGTGGCTTGAGATGTTCTAACTATGCATACCTTTCTCACCCCAGATCCCAGTTCTCCCTATTTAATCTGAGACCAATGCCTGGACGTCAAGACCCCCAAGGTGGCTGAGGATGTACTGAAGTACTGTCTTTCCCAAGGCTACCATGCAGTAAATCTCTTTTCTCTGCCCTTCACTCTTCATTTGACCACTAGATCATTGTCCAGGTGTAATGTAGGACTCCTGGACTTTGGACGTCAGATCTAAAAACCCAGTTTTCATGGATATCTATCTACCTATCTATCTGTCTGTCTGTTTGTCTGTGTGTGTGTGTGTGTGTGTGTGTGTGTGTGTGTGTGTGTGTGTGTGTGTGTGTGTGTGTGTGTGTGTGTGTGTGTGTGTGTATGTTCCCAGCTACTCAGAAGAGCAACTCACTGAAAGGATCTTGGTTCAAGGCCAGCCTGGCTAAAAAGTTAATGAGACCCCCATCTCTACCAATAAGCCGAGTATAGTGACATGCACCTGTCATCTCACCTACCTGGGAAGTATAAATAAGAAGACTGTGGTCTAAGCCAGCTCAGGGAAAAACACAAGATACTTCCCCAAAGATAATTAATGCAAAGAGCTTGGGCTGGGGCTCAAATGGCAGAGCATCTGCCTGGCAAATATGAGGCTCTGAGTTCAAACCCTAGTATAAAAGAAAAAGAGCAATGGAACTGTGGGTGAAGAAAAGCATTTATGTGGAAAACTAGAGAGCTAGCCACCCTTGGGGCGTTAAGTGAATAAAAATGGAAAGTGAACATTAGGGAAACGATGCTAGCAGAGCTGCCATTCCCAGGGTGTAATTACCTCTGCAGAGAAGGGGGAGGCTTTCCCGCCTTAGTGCTGTAGCGGGGATGAGGCCTGCCAGCACACCAGAGCCAGGAACAGCTGCACGTCCAGGAACGGCCACTGAACCCTGAGTGCTTCCTGGCTTTGGTTTCTTTCATTCTGGAGCAATTCAAAAGAGCATTCATTCATTCCAACAAATAGACTGAATCAGAATTTTCTTTTCTTTTGGTGATAACTAGGATTTGAACTCAGAGCCTCCTGCTTGCTCAGCTGGCTGGCTTGCTCAGCTGGCATTCTACCACTTGAGCCATAACTCCACTTCTGGCTTTTTGGTGGTTAATTGGAGATGAGAATCTCATGAACTTTTCTACCTGGGTTGGCTTGGAACCATGATCCTTAGATCTCAGCTGTAGCTAGGATACAGGCGTGAGCTACACTTAACGCTTTTCTACCAGAAATGACATTGTTGGCCAGATGCCAGTGGCTCACACCTGTCATCCTACCTACTTAGGAGGCTGAGATGTGAGGATTGTGGTTCAAAGCCAGCCCAGTCAGGAAAGCCCATGAGACTTAACCAATAAAAAGCCAGAAGTGGAGCTGTGTGGCTCAAGGGATAGAACACTATCCTTGAGCATAAAAGCTCAAGGACAGTGCCCAGGCCTTGAGTTCAAGGCTCAGAACTAGCTAAAAAAAAAAAAAAAGACCATTGTGTAAGAAAGGAGCTAGATGAGGCTCTTCAGAGACATCATTGTGTTGTCAGTGTAGCCAAGTAAAGGACGGGTGCTCATGACTGTGTGTGACTGTTTTCTTCCTTTCCAGCCCTCGGCCACCAATCCCGCTGTCCTTGCTGCTGACAGAAGAGGAAGCAGCGATCTCCATCCAGGCATTCTGGAGGGCTTACCTGGTAAGGCTTGTATGTAGCTGTGTGGTCTTTGTCTTGGGGTACGGGAGATATCTGCCTCACAGAGAGACCCTAGGAAAACCCTCAGATGAATTTGAGAAAAGATATGATCACTCTCTCTCACACATAACTCAGAAACTGGGTTCCTTACAAACTATCCCTGAAGGGTGGTTTAGAATTTCTACCAAAACTGGGCTGGGAAGGTGGCTCAGTGGTAGAGCGCTTGCCTTGCATGCCTGAGGCCCTGGGTTCGATTCCTCAGCACCACATAAGCAAAAATGAAAAAAAGCTGGAAGTGGCGCTGTGGCTTAAGTGGTAGAGTGCCAGCCTTGAGCTGAAGAGCTGAGGGACAGCGCCCAGGCCCAGAGTTCAGGCCCCATGACCAGACCCCCATTCCCCCCCCACCCCCCGCAAAAAAAAGAATTTCTACCAAAACTTATTTTGCAGGCTGAGGGTATGAGTCAGGTCATCGTATGTCTGCCTCTTGGGTGTGAGGCCCTGAGTTCAAACACCAGGACTGCTTACTAAAACTGCAACAACTTACTTTGCAATTCTCATGAAAAGAACTGGCTAGCTTCTGAAAGTTGGCCTGACTGGCCTGAATTGTCTAAAAATAATCCTATAGCTAGACAGCGAGAGGAATACATTGTGTTAGAAAAGAAGGAAACTCGATATATTTTAAAGCAGTCTGGCCTTTTCTTCAAAGCAAATCATACCCAGAAATCTGGTGGACAACAGGTATGTAATATTATGAGTGGCTTGTGTCATCCTGCCACGAGCCAGGGGGCTTTGGAGCACATTCTTGGTGCTGTGGGTCCAGTGTGAACCTTTTCATGATGGCAATCTGCAGCCCAAAGAATGAGTGACAAAAGAGAGAAATAGATAAGTTGGGCTTCATGCAAATGAAAAATGTAGGTGAGTAAAAAAGAAGCCACAGAATGGGAGAAAATATTTCCAAACCAGGTATCTAGAAGTCTACTAACCATCATATATAAAGAACACTCACAACTTAACAAGAAAAAAATATAAACAACTATGAAACTGTCAAGGCTTTGAATGGACATTTCTTCAAAGACAATATATCAATATATATGCAAATAATCCCATGTGAAGAAGATGGTCAGAAGCCAGGAACCAGGTGGTTCACACCTATAATTCTAGCTACTCAGGAGGCTGAGATCTGAGGATCGAGATTCAAAGCCAGACTGGGCAGGAAAGTCTGTGAGACTCTTATCTACAATTAACCACCAGAAAATCAGAAGTGGTGCTGTGGCTCAAATTGTAGAGCATTCACCTTGAACTGAAGAGCTCAAGCCCCATGACCGACCCAAAAAAAAAGAAAAAAGAAAAAGGACAAGAAAAGAATATGGTCCTTAGTCTCTAGGAAGTGTGAATCAAAGTCACAGTGAGCTCTTTGACCCACCTGTGTGACTATAATGAGAAAGACCACAAGGGCAGAGAGAACTTCGTGTATTGCTAAGAGGATGTATAATAGTATAGTCACTTTGTTTTGTTTTATTTTTGTCAATCTTGGGGCTTGAACTCAGGGTTTATGCCATTCCTGAGCTATTTGCTCACGGCTAGTGCTCTATCATGTTGAGCCACATCTCTACTCTTGTATTTTTTTAGTGGTTGATTGGAGATAAGAGTCTCACTGACTTTCCTGTCCAGGCTGGCTTCAAACTGTGATCCTCACATCTCAGCCTCCTGAGTAGCTAGGATTACAGGTGTGAGCCACCAGTGCCTGGTGGTACAGCCACTTTGGAAAACAATCTGGCAGTTCCTCAAAGAGATAAACAGAACTTCCCGCCTCATCCTTCTCTGACAAGCGGTCTGAGGACTGCTTACAAGTGTAGTCACCCAGTACTTGTCCTGTGTTGACTCCTGCCACTCAACAGTGGCTCCTGCCACTGTGCTGTCATGTGTGTCACGGCTTCCTTCCTCTACAAGGCCAAGTAATCATCTTGCCTGGAAGTCTTAAAACCCACCAAAGCTGCCAAGATCCTCACTCGTCTACCACAATGCTAGCCAGAGAGCTCATTAAAACTGTCTTAGCTGACAGCATTCACAGAAGTACCACATGCCAGAAAATGCTATTTGTAGCATTGTGAACTCTTCTTGGGGCTGTCAGTTTATAATTAGCCTAGTAAATAGGTCCCTGATAGTTTATTTTAATTTACTTGATTGTTATTATAGAGGTGATATACAGAGGGATTACATTTTCCATGTGTCTGGTCATGAGTATATTTCCCTTCGTACAGTGTCATCTGTTCCTTCATTCTCTCCCATTCCCTCCCCCCCCCTCGCCTCTACCCACAAGTTGTATAGTTCACTTTTATCAATATCCAGTGCAGACAGTGTGCTGCACTGCTGCACTTTCCACCTGTTTTTCTTGGACTGTGCCCTCTGATAGCTTTTGATTTTTTTTAAACTAAACATAAATCACTTCTGCAGAAGCAGACATTCCATCCCCTGGTTTCTTTCAGATTGTTTCCCCATGCCAAATTGGCTGTGTGTGTGTGTGTGTGTGTTTCAATGCATTTTAATCATTATTTGCATTTAATGCATTTAATGAAATCTGATCCTCTGACAACTGTCCTTTCTGTAGCAGCCATGTTTCACAGTATCCCAGTGCTCTTCCGGCTGTACCATTCCAGATGGCATTGGTGAGCAAGTATGGAGAGAGGGCAGTGGGGACTGCTGCTCTCCATGGATCACAGTGGTTAATTTCCTTAGTGACTTGGGAGACAAGGACCAGATGGACCCACTATGTGTGTGTCTAATGAGGCCTTCTCCTCCTTTGTTCTATTTGATCCTAACTCAATCTGGACACCTTGGTAGTGAGCGTTGGCAGTTCCCTCCTCCCAGTTCCATTCTTCTAGGCCTTGGGATGTCTTGAGGATCACAGAGGCCACCAGCCATCACCCCTATTTATGGATTAACACCCTGGTAAGTCACTGTCACAACCTTGCAAACTTAAAATAAGAATGCAACGAATGAGCAGAGACTGGGGTCTCTCTCCTCACAGTAAATGGTGAAAAATCTGTGCACTTATACTTTATAGTAAATGTCGACAGCAGGCTGAGTGTGGATGCGACACTCCCTGGAGAAAGAGCTTGCCATCAACCAGAGGGCAGAGTTGGTGGAAAGGCCACTCCTGGATTGGGCCAGCTTGGACATGATGGCCAGGGGACCTCATTCAGGCCAGTAAGACTTGGGAGACTCTATTGGGAAAACTATCACTAGAGTAGCTGGGACAAAGCCACTATCATCACTGGGGTTACCAGTCACCAGGCTATTGGTGACCATCTCACCACTGAGAGGAGCCTGCCAGACATGACTGAAGAGGCAACCAGAGCCAAGACTCAGGACTCTGTGTATGTTGGGTCAGTGCATGACTGAGTGCCAGCTACTTGGGAAGCAGAGGCAAGTGTTCAAGGCCAGCCTGGGCAACATAGCAAGACACCCACCACCTCAAAACAACAATCCATCTCTAGAGAAGTGTGATTATTTTGCCTGTAGACCTCTAAGAAGTGTGATTATTTTGCCTGTAGACCTCCTGTAGGGTGTCTTAGGGGCCATTGCTGGCAGGAAATAACAGACCTCAAGTCATTTGGAGGACAGTCTGCACTGTGGATCAAAGAGTCTACCGGAAGAGCATCCTGAGGACACTACATGAGATTGGTGGTGTTCACACAGCTTTGATTTATCTTACTGTTTCCTGAAAACCACTTACTTCTGTTCAGAGATCTGATCTATGGCAAACACAGCCCAAGAGCAGGATCCCACAGCCCAGGAAAGGGCCTGAAGACAGTAGCCAAGGAAGGTTTTTCCCTTCCCCCCATATTTTCCTGCTGCAAGCAGGAATTTCAGCTGGAAAGCGGTGGTTTTCCACAGAGAGGAAAAGAAAGGCAGCTGCAAGGCTGGCCATGAGGCATATCATTTTGAGGTGGGAATATGCAACTGAAGTCTTGCTTAGCAGCCTAACATTCTTGCTTATGATACTCTAGCTGAACAGAAATATGCCTTGTGTTTTTAATAGTGTGAGCTCTTGCAAGGCATGGATGGCTCATGCCTATAAATCCTAGCTAGTAGGAGACTGAAGATCGTGGTACAAAGTCAGCCCAGGCAGAAGAGTCCATGAGACTCTAATCTCCTAATAACCAGCAAAAAGCCAGAAGTAGAGCTATGGCTAAAGTGGTAGAGCACTAGTCTTGAGCATAAAAGATAAAAGCTAAGCAAGAGCACCAGGCCCTAATTCAAGCTCTCAAATCACACGCACGCACGCGCACGCGCGCGCGCACACACACACGCGCGCGCGTGCGCGTGCAAAGGTAGAACATAGTGTTGCTTACCTATAATCCCAGAACTTCAGATGCCAAGATAAGGGGATTGTGAGTTCCAGGCCAGACTGGCCTACATTGCAAGGACCTCTCTTAAGAAAACCACAAACGAACCAGTTACTGGTGGCTCTCATTATCCTAGGAGACTGAGATCTGAGGACTGGTTTTAAGCCAACCCTTGCAGAGAAGTCTGTGAGACTCTTTATCTCTAACATAAGGTACTGTGGCTGAGTAGTAGAACACTAGCCTTGAGCAAAAGAGTTGAGGGACAGCACCCAGACCCTGAGCTCTGTTATACGTGAATTACATCAACGAGATACAGAGAAGCTGTACTTTGAGAGGTTGAATCAGAATCTTTATTAGAAATCCGGTGACTGCAAGTGGACTCGAATCCCAAGAAAACCTCGCTGTCCTGAATGCAGCAAGCACAAAGTTTATAAAGGCAAAAATGACATCAAGGCAGATGTCACATGGTATGGGGACTAACAAAGCGTGCAAAACAAGCCAGTTAAGGGTTAACTAAGGAGAGCAATTAGATATTATAGAGTTTATCCAGGAGAAGCAATCAGGGGAAGGGATTTTAACAACAACCAAGGGTAGAGATTTCTTTGGAGTCTAATAACCCTTGACATATCTGCAGTTCTGGGAATGACCTATATC